GCATGCCTCACTCAAGGTATGTGCAAGATATGTATTAGCTCACCTAGCAGGGAGTGAATTGTCCTAGGGCATCCACCCAGGTTTCAGGGGATGGGTGTGTCCCAAGCAGAATGAACCGAGGTGGAAATAGTCTGAGCTTAGTTGTATTGCACTTCCATCTTGGACTCCAGGCAAGGCATTCAATTATTAAAACTCAGGATGCCTCTGTGGTTCAGTCTCTTTAGGAACAGACATTTTCTGGTTTGTTTTTCCAGGATATGCATTGCTCTCTGTCTTCTGGGACTTTTATTGGTCTAAGATTTACTTGCTGTTCCCAGTGGTTTTGATGAAAGGTGTTCAGATCCACAGTTAGCATCAGAGTAAGTGAAGAAGGAAAAAAATAGCCCTCATGCGTTATTTAAAGTAGTGGTTCTCAAACATTAAGGGGCATCAGAATCACCTGTAGCGCCTGTTAAAATGCTGATTGCTGGGCCCCAACCCCAGAGTTTCTCATTGAGGAGGTCTGGCCTGGGGCCCAAGAATTTGCATTTCTCAAAGCTCTGAGGTGGATGCGCTTTCCAGGGACTGCACGCGGGAAACCCCTGACCTGAAGTAATTGATCTAGATATATCTCTAGCACAGATGTGGACATGTCTCTATTTTAAAAATGTACTTGTTCTTTTACAAGTGAATGAGTCAGAATGATAATGGTTTTTGTTTTTCAGCGATAATAGCGGCTTAGTGCCTGATGTCCCCCTGCGGCTTCACTAGGAGAGCACACTTAGTACCGTGTGTAGTCAGACAAAGATTAGAATAAATTGACAGTTCTCTCAAAACACTACCCCTTAGCCTTCTTTAGTACTGAGATTTTGATTTATGGGGTCAGTTTTGCTTACCATTATGTTGCTTTGTATCTCTATATTATAAATGTACTCAAAATTATAGTATGAAAGAAAAGAATGTGAAGATCTAAAAATGTACTCATCTCTACTAACCTTTTCTTAAAATGATTCAGCTACTTTACATAATGAACCACTTAATGGTAATGATAGCCATGTTTTAGACTCATTTGCTCAATTCTAAAAATCAAAAATTATTCTAACAGGTACCCATATACATGATTCAATTCAGTAAGATAAGAACATTAAGGGTGGGTTATTGCCCTGTATTGTAAAAATATAGAAGATAATTAAAAGCTAATTTTCTTAGAAACACAGCTTGTAATTTGTTACGTAGTTTTTTCTTTAGAGGTGCTACGACTGGGTTTAGACACAGGTCCCTTGCTGGGGGTGGGCAGCAGGGAATTCACTCAACTTGGCCATACTTCAGGAGGAACACAAGAGGGCTGGTGAGCATATGGGGGACCCTTTGGCTGAGCCCTGATGCCCTCTACCTCCCTGCCTTCTTCCTGATGTGTAGTCTCTCTCTCCAGCACATTTTATGCTAATTGAAATAGGACCAGTATTGCATAGACTTGCCATGACCCAGCGTGCACAGGCCTTAGTCATTATTTGCAAGAAAGGAAGGCATCTCTGGACCCAAGGAGTATGCTTTTTTTTAATCTTCCGACAGAAGGTTCCTCCAGATATAAAAGACATCTTTCATGCAGTGGTGCATTCATTTGACCATTTTGCTTAACTGTTCCGTCTGTGTATGTGTGAGGGTTCTAGTCTGGATTTAGGAAACTTTTCTTGCAGAAAGTAAACTTCTTCCTGGGTAAGTGAACTGGGGAGAGTTCCCCAGACAAAGTACAGTGCCTACGGAAAGCTACAGAGGTAAGAAGCCCCATATACACAGAAAAATTCATGCATTTTTGCCTGAACGGGGACACTGGGGGCCAGATGTGGTAAAGGCAAGGCTGGAGAGAGAGGGAAAGCCCATCCCCCCCTTCTCTTTCATTCACTAATTTCCCCCTTATCTAAAAGCTCTTAATAAAGCACTGCTTTTACTCAGAGTCATCAGTTGATTTTATGTGTGGCATGTGGCAATATATTCTTCATTGAATGTGGTTACAAGTTTATACAATTTACATCCGACTGAGATATCCCTCTTACGAGAATCAGTTTTTTTTAATCCAGGTTATTATATCTTCTAGATGCTTTTAAAGAGAGTCCATTGATAATTGTTATTTGAAATAATTCTTTTCTATTAGTTGAGTTGATCTGAATTTTTTCTTAAATAAAACAAAAAGGTTTTTTTTTTTGTTTCTGAAATTACACTTTCTCCCTCAGGAAATATGAGAAAAATTCATTACGTGGAGTCACATACCAAGGTATATGTTGATGTGTTTTTTTCTGTGTGCTTTTTTTTTTCCCCATCAGGATTACCTGTTTGTCCTGAGCTGGTAAGGGAGCACATCCCTAAAACCAAGGATGTGGGACACTTCTTATCTGTCACTGGGACAGTGATTCGAACGAGTCTGGTGAAGATCCTGGAGTTTGAGCGAGACTACATGTGTAACAAATGCAAGCATGTATTTGTGGTCAAGGCTGATTTTGAGCAGTATTATACCTTCTGCCAGCCATCCTCATGTCCCAGCTTGGAGAGCTGCAATTCTTCAAAATTCACTTGCCTCTCAGGCTTGTCTTCATCTCCAACTAGGTGTAGAGATTACCAGGAAATTAAAATTCAGGAACAGGTAAATGATCAAATAAGAAAAATAACAAATTTGAAGAAGTGTTTTTCAGCTAAGTGGAAATCACCAGGACTAGGGAACACATAGTGGATTATCAACGGAACTTGTCTCATCACTTGGTAGATCAAGTGTGAAACCGTTGCATATATATCAGAATATAGAATTTAGGGACCATAAAATAATCATCTTTTTATAGCAAACATTGGCAAGAGGGTTGTGAAATGACTTAATTACTTTAGATTAAGTGAATATTTAAGAAATTCAAAGAAGTTGTACTTAACTGATAGGAGAAGATTAAGTGGGTGTAATTGGTTGTTAAACGTTGGAGTGGGCAGGATTTGGAGTTTAGATTTAATTTATTTACCCTGCCAAATGAGTTATGCATAAGCTCTCTTTAACATGTGAAAGTGAGCTTGATTTGCCTTTACTTGCAGCTTATACACAAAAGCTTATTCAGTGTCAAGAACACAGACCCCTTCTGTCTTTCCACACCATTCTTAAAACATGGCTTCTATTCTTATGGGTGTCTGTGGTCCAGGATGGTGGTTACAACTCTGTCACATCTGTTTTCCAAAGAACAGGAAAAAGGAGGCAAAAGCACCTGTCACTTAACCCAAGTCTCCATTTAAACAGTCTCCCTCAAATTCTCTTGCATCAGGTCTGCTTGTGTCTCACAGGACTTGGTCGGATGACCACACCTAGCTGTAAAGGAGCCTGGGAGAGTCTACTTACTGGGCATATGTCCATGTGGAATAAAATCAGGGTTCTATTACTAAGGAATAATCAAAGGAACTGAGTGATTTGTCCCGGGTCTTATGACTAGAGATGAGGAAAGAACTGCCTCTCTTTTCTAGTTAGGTAACTTTGTTATTGTATTCAGTAGTTGGAGCATATGTCTATTTTGACCATCAACATGGTAGGTTATATTTGGAGATATTTTCCATATTGGTGATTTTAGTTTACTCTAGTTTTGGTGAATTCTTAAACTAATAGTAGGCACAATTTTCAAGAAAATTTCATAAGTCCCCATCATAATTAAACTGTATGTTAATAACAGAAATAGAGTAATTTCAAGAAGTGCTAGGCTTCTGAATACTTAGTATGTATTTAAGCATACTAAGTATCTGCTTTCTTTTCCTTGCTAGGTTCAAAGACTATCTGTTGGAAGTATCCCACGATCTATGAAGGTTATCCTGGAAGATGATTTAGTAGACAGTTGCAAATCTGGTAAGAATTAACTTTTGTTAACTTATATATCAGTTCCTAAGGTATTGATTAGGAAAAGCCACTTTTTTAATTTTCCCAAGGTCACTGGCAAGTGAATGTGGAGTATTGATTGCTCACTTTGAGAATAGAGACGGGCATGAGTTGGGGGGTGAAAGCAGGAAAGAAGCTGGACTGGAGGTTAGCAGTCTAGTCCAACCGCTTGTTTTACTGATGAAGAACCTGATTTTCCCAAGGTCACTTGGAGAAGTAAGTGGCAGAACTGGAACATGAACTCAGATCCACTGACTTTTAGTCTGGGACTCAATTCAGTGCACCATAGCTTAACAGAGGCAACATTAAAAAAAAAAAGCAGTGGATTTAGTGGGCAATTATACATATAAAATGCAGCAGAGGATGTGACTCTGTCAAATGCTGTTGTACTCAAATTGGTGTTCTTCTCTGCTCTGTGCTGGTGACACCAATACAGGAGCCACATGATTTTGGTCTCCTGAGCTCTGAGAGTCTTCAGTCTTCCATTGGCCAGTTGCCTGAGTGGAGAGGGAATGCAAAACCAAACTGAAAGAAGAACTGTGGGTATTTAGCCTAGAGAGGCCTCAGGAAGGACATGACAGCCAACGTTGATTAGTTGGAAAATGGTGATACAGATAGGAATTCTAATTACAGAAGCTACTGTTTGATTTCAGTGGGCTGAAGCTGCAGGAAGACCGATTTTGACTCAATATCTAACAAAGGTGTTTAACATGGGCTTTGGGTGATGGTGAGTTTCTGTTCTCAGACAGCCAACTAGAGGATGAACAGCAGTTTGTTAGCAATTGAGGCCTCATGATGGTCGTTGATCTGGGTGATCTACAGTGTTCCAGGCAAATCAGAGTCTCTCCGAGCCTCGGAGCTGTGCTGGAAACCTGAGGGCTTCAGAAGCTTGGTTGTTGTAGTCTCGCTTTGATTTAGGCTCTGATCTTCAGGCCAGTCAGACAGTGCCTAAGCTCTCCTTTGTCCCTCTCAGCTCATCTTGACCCCTCTTACTCTCCTCACCAGGGATCTTGGGAAGAAGTCAAACTTAAAAGTATTTATGGCCCGATTCTAAAGATTGGAAATTTCCTACACTGAATTAAAACTCGCTATTTTGACAAAGAAAATGGTAGGGAAAGGTTTTATTTGGAAAAGTAAGATATTAGGAGTTTTTGTGTGTCAGCAGTGTGGCTCAAGAGGGTAAATAGTATTCTCCCTCCTGTAGTACCCGTAGTTAAATATCATAAGAGATATTCTTAATAAAGTTTGGTATGTTTTTAAGTGGATGTGTTATTGACTGAGAGAATGAAGCGTGCTTTCTTCAGTTGGTAGGTGGTAGGGCTATAAGACTCACATGGCACTGGTCGCCTTAAGGTGAAGATCTTGGACAGAAGCAGACTGCCTTCTAAGTGATAATCTAAAACTTTTTTTCTACCCAAAGCACTTGATGTCTTCTGTATGCCAACTCTATCCTTATCCATCCTTCTTCTCCCTCCTTCTCCCTCACTGTCTTACTAACGAACCTGACAGGCCCTAAAGGCTCTAGTGTAGAGCTTTAAAGTCTTTTGGCTTCAGAGACTTTCAGTCTCAAAAGAGGTTTTCCTCAGAGCTACAGAGCTTTCGCCAGCGTCTCTGAGGCTGTATCTCCAGCCCAGGAAAAGGCAGGTGGAAACATGTTCACTTAGAGCCGGTGCCTTCTGCTCACGTTCCCAGGCCTTAACCAAACCTTTGTTTGTGAGGAGGACATGAGAGCTTGTCCCTTCTGTTTCCTCCTCTTATTCCAAAGAACTTAAAAATTGTTGCTTTTACTCTTTGCCTAGCAATTTCCATTGGCCATTTAACATTTAATTTAAATTGAAGGTAGGTCAGAAGGTAGAAATCATTATTATCATTGCCTTTCAGTTCACCACCTCAACATTTCCTGCTTTAAATATTTCCCATCCTCACTGAAAAACCCTTAATCTCTATTAAAAACAAATAGCACCAATGTGTCCCCCGGGAAGTAACAGGTATGTCTGACCTTTTATTTCATATTCCAGTTCTCCCCTACTGGAGAAATTGAAAATGCTTGATTTTTCTGAATTCCATCATTTCTTTTTTCTTAATCCTAGGCCTCTCCAAATGCCTCGTTTAAAAAAATATTTACTGATTTGATAGTTCATTAAAATGATGAGGCAAAGGCTTTATGGAAAGAAAGAGTTCGGCGTCCAGAGTTAATTCTTTTTCAAAAGATTCTCCCCTTCCACCCAAGAATCACCACCCCTTAGCTTGAAATTTATATCAAATATATTAACAAGTTTGTAGTTGTCTAAACAGTATTCTAAGTGAATAACAGCTTTGATATGGACTGCCTGCTGAATGGACAAGGCTGTGTCATAGTACCTTGCTCATATAAGACACTAGATTTTAACCAAAATCTGTAATACCTGGATCAGCAAAGCAATGCTTGTATGAGCTTGGCTGGAACATGAAAATATCCTTTGATTGAGACTAACATATTTTCATGTGGTTCACCTAATCTGAATTCTTTCTGCACTGAAAAAAAAATCTTAAGTTATTTTTCTTTCACATGTCACTAACAATAAAGAATGTATAGAAGCAGTCTGTCAATAGCTACTTTTTCCTTTATCCGTTGCTCTGAAGTTCTGTGAGAATCAGAAGACATAAATGGCATAATTCTTGCCTTTTAGGGGTTTACAGTCTAGTTTGGAACCCCGATCTGATGTTGCAGAGTAATAAAGTTGGAGGTTGTGTACTGATAACTGTCAGTGCAGCAGGAGATCAGAGATGGGTCTGACTGGGGGGGCGCCTGCAGTGGTAAATATGCCGCAGAAGATAGAGGGGCACAAAGAGATTGGATTGTACAAAAGTAAGAATTTTAGCTTCCTGAAAATAGCATTGTTTAAATGACATTTACTGTGGAAAAATGCAAAAGTTTCAAATGAGTGTCTATTGCCTCACATGTATACCTCTGATGTTCTGATGATCATATGAATCTGTCAAACAATAAATATTTGAGTAAATGAAAACCTGTGTATATTAAAGGGTTTTTAATGGTATTAGTTGCTCTACAAACATAAGGTAGGTTTAGTATAAAAATAGCTAATATTTAAGGGGCACTTATTCTAGATATTGCATTAAGTACTTTATATACATTATCTGACCTAATTCTCACTAAGCTCTGTGATGTAAGTATAATTATTTGCATTTTGTAGGTCAAGAAATAAGCTCAGCTTATTAGGTAGCTTGCCCATTGTCACATAGCCAGTGAGTTGTGGAGCTAGGATTTAAATCCAGATCTGAGCTCTCGGCCATTCTTGAGTAGTCTGCGTTTTCCACATTATCACTGCTTGCTGAAGTCAGATTATTACTAATGGTGCAATATCTGAAAGCTAAGTTTCTCATTTGACTAATACAGGAACAACCTATATATAACCCACTAAAATGACCACAGTAGAGAACTGTCCCAAGTGCTCATATAAAGTTGCTCTGGTCATTTTCATCTAAAAAAAATGGTGCTAGACAGTAGAGTAAATGACCACTATTCCTGATTTATATTTGAAAACCATCCAAGCAGTTGTTTAGGAAGGATCTTGAAAACATTTGTGAAGAATCTATTTAATGTGTTTGTCATCATTTACTATGAAGTTGCATTTGGCTAGAAATATGCCTTCTATTCTGTGAATTGGTACCACCAGTTTCATGCATCTATAAAACACTTTTCTTCAGGGAATCAAAAGTCCTGCAGATTACACGTTACACATTGAAGTTGAGAGAGGGAAAGGAATTTGACATCGACTAACATCATGTATTTGACACATGCTTGGAAATGAAGACTTGCCTGTTAGTTCAGAGGCAGTGTCTGTTGTGCAAACTGTGAATACAGGATTGGATCTAAGGTTTGTTCAACATCCTGTGTTTGAAAAGATTGAAATCTTGGGGACTAGGATTATGTCTTTTCTTTCTTTGGCCCCCTTTTCTCCAGTTCCAGAATATTGAACACCAAGCATTCACCTATACTTGTTCATTAATGCTGAGAATTGTATGTAGCAATAAAAACAGATGTCAGTGCTTGGAGAATGTGCCTATAAATTATCCAAGACCTCTTAGGAAAATCTGTGACAGTTTAATATTCTACCCATCCATCAGGATTGGGAAAGTTTCCTTAGGTGTGAAGGAACCATCAAGAAGGAACAAGCAGGGTTGTATCTTGTGCTTTGATAGCTTATGCAAAGGAGCTCTGAAGTAGAACAGGTATTCATTCATTTCTTAGTGTACTCATCCGTTTGTACATTAAAAAAAAAAGGCAGTGAGTAAAATGTTCACAAAGTAGTTAAGTAAAAGTGAATATAAAAGAAACTAAAACTGGTATCATAGTATCCCTCATTACTAGATTGTGTCCTTTCCTGACACCAGAGTGACCCCTGACCAGCATGGGTTTGAACTGTGTGGGCCCACTTACGCACGGATTTTTTTTCAATAGGAGATACTGTAGTACTACACGATCCATGGTTGGGTGAATCTGCGGATGCTGAACCGCAGATTCAGAGGACCAACTGTGGGTCCTGAGCATTCGTGGATTTTGGTATCCTCGGTAGGTTCTGGAACCAATGTCCTGCAGGTACTGAGGGACTCACTGTAGTTTAAACTTCTGGCTACAATTCCCACCTCTTTAACTGTGAACTACATGGCTAGAGATTCTGAGAGGATGAACATTTCAGCCAATATAATCACAATGAATAAATCATCCATTAAACTGTTTTCCCAGCCAAAGGCTATAACTTGGTGTGATTATCATGTGGCAGATTAAGAAAAATTAAAATGTGGAGTTAGCTTTTAGCTGTGCAAATACAAGTCCCTGTAGAAAGAAAGAAAGGAAAGAAGGAAGGAAGGAAGGAAGGAAAGAAGGAATGGAAGGAAGGAAGGAAGAAAGAAAGAAAAAGAAAGGGAGAAAGGAAAGAAAGAGAGAAAGAAAGAAACTCTGCTGTTCTTTTGCCCCAAATGGTTTCTGGATGAATGTGCCCCACTGTAAACCCTGATCCTTTGTTGTGTGAGTTTGTGCCCAAGCAGGCAGGATACTACCGCTGGACTGACTTGGTGCTTTTTCTCAGGTGATGACCTCACTATTTATGGGGTCGTGATGCAACGGTGGAAGCCCTTTCAGCAAGATGTGCGCTGTGAAGTGGAGATAGTCCTGAAAGCCAATTATGTCCAAGTAAATAATGAGCAGTCTGCAGGGATCAACATGGATGAGGAGGTCCGAAAGGAATTTGAAGATTTTTGGGAATACTATAAAAGTGATCCCTTTGCAGGTTTGTAATTAAGGATATGGTATTTGTGATTTACATGCTGCATATCGGTGCCTGTGTTCCAAGGGAGTAGCATTAGTCAGTTCTTCTAGCTCTAGTCTCCTTTTGAAGAACTTTTCTGGCATAATCTTTTCTATTTAGAGATCTTTCTGGATAATTTCAAGAGATTTTCCATTTCTAACTATTATTCTAACATCTCTTATATTGCCAAAATAGTTTCAGAGTTTTCTACCACCTTTACCAATTAAATAGTTTTTCCTTAAATAAGCAAAGCACATCCTATTATGAAACCCCATCCTATTAAAGCCATATTTCTTTTCTGATGTATCTAGTACAGTTAAGACAGCTTCACACTGTTTGAGCCGAAGATTTAAAAATATGAAATAAGTAGGAAAGAGATGATAAGAGAGATACAGAAAATAAGCTTTATCATCACAGCAAAATTTTTGACACTAAGATATAATTACACAGATTAAAACATTACAGCCTTTGGGTTTGTAGAGTATTTTTTATTTAAAAATCCCAACTGCATAAAACACCAATTAAATCTTCAAATGTCTCTTTTCATTGTTCCTTGGAGGCATCTCAGAAAAATATACGGAAGCCAGTAATAGGCTATTTCTGATAAACTTCACCTCAAATCTAATACATGGAGATTACTTCATTAAATCACATGCTGAACTGGACAGATATCATTTCACAAAAAAAGGCTTTCATTTGCCTAAATACAGGAGTTTACTTTTATTTTGTGGGATTTTTGTTGTTGTTGTTTATGTGTGTAACACGTATGTAGCGGTTATCGATCATGCTTTCATCTGATCCGTACAGAAAGAACCCAAGGGCCTTACATTGTGGCTTTATTAGGCAAGCCTTTTAAGAGTCATATATATTTTCAAATACATTTTTTTGCTTAGAACTGTTTCTTAGGATCAAATCCTCACAAAAATCAGTGACTTTTCCTTGGACATCACCATTCCTTATTGACTCCAGTGCCCCCGCTACACCCAACCCTGCACCAGTGAAGGAAGGAAAGGCATCATACAGTGCTCCAGCCAGACCATCAGAAGTGCTGTGTGCTGGCAATTAAAGAGTCTGTCTTGTTTTGATTAGAAGGCTATAGCTGTACAACTCATTTACTGGACGAAAGGAAGAAATAAATGTAATAACCTGTGAGAAATGTTAAGTAGGAAGACAGGGAGAAAATGAGGCAACATTTTTCTTTTTAGTATGAGCAGATTCTGCTTTATTAGTTAAGTACCCATTATCAGCCCACTGTATTTTACCATTTCAGTGTGTGTGTGTGTGTGTCAGGGGAGAGGGTGGAGATAGAGAGCTGTATCCAAAAGGGTGTCTTCATTATGCTAGTCTAAAGCCAGAGATGACGTCACTGCTTAGCTCTGGGAGGTTGGCCTGTTTCATTAAGATCTGATACTGTGAGTATTGACAAGGAGCTAAAGATTTTCTTATCTATACTGACCTCAAGAATCCCCTGATCCTGGTGCTTAAATGCTGGATAGAAACTTAAAACATAGGGGTTGGGGTCTGCTGGGCCATCTGAACCCACTCTGGGGTGACTCACTCTACTGTTGCTCTAAGAAATTCTCTTCTGGAGGTAACTGAGGGCTGTGCCACAAGAGTGGATTGCACGGGCATACCATTAACACAGTCTAGGATCAGAAATTTGGGAGGGAGGGAGGGATGAGGAAGCATTCACCCTAATGCATTCTCTTCATGATACAGTCATGGGAGCTTCTATTGCCATGACCCAGGGAGCTGAGTTTTCAACTTTTAGATAACAAATTTAGGGAATGGACCTTCCCCTTTGTTTTTATCTGGTATCTCACATGTGACTTCAGAGCATACTGTTTTATGTTGACTACAGGGTGAAGAAATCTTGAGATGAGCAATAAGCACAAGTAATACAGGCAATATAATAGTTAACAGTCAAGTAGCTCCTGTGGTGTGCCAGGTACTGCTGTGTGTGCTGTGCACTTAGGAACTCCTTAGGTCCTTAACAGTTCTGTGTGATACCATTATTATCTCCATTTCACACATAAAGAAATGGAGGCAGAGAGGGTAGGAAACTTGCCCAAGGTCACACAGCTCGTTAGTACCACCCTAGGGTCTGACACCAGAGCCTGAGCTCTTTACCAAGGGATGTGCTTCCTGTCAGCACATTAGTCACTGAATCTACCTTTACCCAGAAAGTTGGCTAAGTTTTGACTTGCATGTCTCGCAGGTCAGTTTGCTACTCGCTACATGCTTAGTGAGGCTGTTCCTTCTTTCTGTGTGTGTGTAGTCTCTAGATTATGGTCAGAATTTACCTACCTACTGTCAGGTCTTCGTAAATGCTTAGAGCTCAGAACTTTCATCTCTTCCCGTTGGGCTTTCTACCACAGGAAAGGGCAGGATTCCCTCCAGCAGTTACTTTCCTCCAGGATTCACTAATTCTTCTTTTCGGTTCCTTTTTTACTGAAGTATTTTCTTTCTTCCCTGTTTCTGCTATCCCAGGTCACAGCACTATAGCTCAGTTGCCACTGAGTCAACTGTGATTCATTACAAAAAGTAGCTTTTGTGTATAGGGCCATAAATTGTGGAGGAAGGCCCTTTCCTTTACCTTGATGGAAAAGCTTCTGGAACTGGAGTCATCGGCTAAAGGAGTTCTTGTACTGCTTTTCCTCCTCAAAAGTGCTATCACTGAAACATCAGTAAAAACGCAGAGTTAAATATAAAAGTCCTCAAACATGCAGATCAGTTACCAGCATGCGGACATTCATTTCTGGTAACATGAATGTAGACATAAAGATTACCATCACAGTAGTGACTTCCATGTAAGACCGACTCAGGAAAGGCTTGTTAGAATCTCCTAAGTTTATGACCCTCTGTTGGTTGATTAGGCCAATGACAGAATGAAATCCCTACTTTATTCATGGATGGCATGGGCAGATTCTCAGATTTGCTGTTTGACATTTCTGAATAAAGAACCTAAAATAATGATAATCTGTTATTTAAAGCATGTGATCAGAATCCAAGACCTCCAGCTTGGATTACTAGAGTTGTCATTTATAATCTTCTAAATACCTCGACCTGCTGATACTTCAGAAGTTACCAAACTGCTCAGAGCCAGTGCTGAACTGGCTTGCAGGACAGGTTAATTTTACTTCTCTTAAACCTCTGGAGAAGCTCCACGAGCTAAGTCCTGTACTTAAAGGTTACTGTTTCTACAGTCTGACTCATTGTTTCTGAGATGGAACACCTTCCTTTTATTTAGGCAGTGGAGAATTTTACTGGAATTATTGCACAGGAAGTACAGCTAGTTTATTTCTAAGGGATAATGTTGGCCTGCTGAAAGAGAAAAGAGATTTCTTTCTGTCCCTTGTAAAGTATGCTAACTTTATAGAAACTTAAGCAAGTAGACCCAGGAATAAAGACTTTTCATCTCATGGCATTAATAAGAAAAGGACTTTTAGGACCAAAATAAAGTTATTCACTCATTTCAGTCACTTGGAAATGGTTCCCTTGATCATTTTAGATGTAGTGTTTACAGGAAGATAGGATAGAAAGGGAAATTTCAGTTAGGATTTCTTGAAAATTATTGGTAACTTCTGATCTTTCTGCCTTGTCTAGGAAGGAATGAAATATTGGCCAGTTTGTGCCCCCAAGTTTTTGGAATGTACCTGGTAAAGCTTGCTGTGGCCATGGTGCTGGCTGGTGGGATTCAAAGGACTGATGTTACAGGAACACGGGTCAGAGGTTAGTACCCATTTAAAAACTTTGAGAAGTACTAAGACATAAAAGAAGAGAAGCTAGAATTTTTCTTTCCTGAATAAAAATTGCTTGTTGAGCTTTATTTTCCACATACAATCTTTTAATGCTGACAGTTGTCTCACTAATACTTGGTCCAGGATCAGGAACTACTTTGTAGAATTCTAGTCTTTCCGAAGACTTTTTCAATGAATATATATTTTTGCTCCAGCCTGTAAGGGTGCCACAAAATAAAATCCTTGTTTCTTTTACTGTCTGTGTTTTTCATTGGATCCCCAGTCTCTCTCCAAAAGGAAAGAAAAGAAATAGTACTTTTTAATGTCTCCAAGCCAGTGTCTCTCCATCTGTGACTGTCAGTGTGTTTTTCTCAGACTGCTGCTCTCTGTCATCTGCCTGCTGGTTCCCCTTCTGCTGGTGGGCAGCAAATGTGCCATCTGCCAGGAGGTGCTGCTGTAGGTCACGCATTTCAGCAAAAGTTACTCTAAGTGTGTAATTATGTCCAAATGGCAGAAAGCTCTTCTGTGGTTAACACACTGAACTGACCAGAATGTTGCATAAAATAGGTTTATTAGGGCCCTCGTATAGGCCATATGAGGGCCATAATAACCAAAGTCTTAACCAAAAGACTAAAAAGATATTATTGTAAATCAGGCTGTTATTAGGGACTCTAAAACCATATAGTACAGTATAGTAAGTATAATAAGGTTTTTGTGTATTGTATGTTTTGATTACCTACTGTTTGCAAGGCACTCTGCTAAATGTTGAGCTTAAAATAGGATTTCCCTATTAATGTACTTAGAAAATACTTGAATATTACTGAAGAAATTTACCAGTGAGATAATATATACCACAGGATATTCATATATTCATCTATGTTACGTTTGAAAAATAAGAGTACTTTAAGATAGATATTTCATTAAACTACTTAAGTTTTCAAGAATGAAAAGGTTCTCAATTAGCTGTTAGAATCATAAGTGATCTAGTATTTTTAAGGTACTTATAAAGTCCTGAACACTTAAAAGTACTTAAAGAAAAATAGAGTAAAATGCTTGTATGGCTGGATGGAAAGATTTAATCACAACAGTTTGATATTTAACAATAGATTAGATATACTGAGAAACTTCATAAGCCAAAATTTTTTGAAAAGTTAAACATAGTCCTAAACATCTGGAAATAGCACAAAATCTGTTAAAAAAATTTAGATTTTAAATGTCACATTCAGAAATTAATTAAAGATTATTATTTAGGATGATGTTAACTTTTCTAAAGATATTCTACTTAAATCTTTCCTTGAATGACCTTAAGCAAAAGCACTATGTATAATTTGTGTTGGGCATGCCAGGTGGACCATGTTCTTTTTGATTAATTATACTTCTGAGTCTTTTCACAGAAATTAAAAGCTTTACATTATTTACATTGTTCTAGGTGAATCTCATCTTTTATTGGTTGGGGATCCTGGCACAGGGAAATCTCAGTTCCTCAAATACGCAGCAAAGATTACACCGAGATCTGTGCTCACCACAGGAATTGGATCTACCAGTGCAGGTATTTTACACGGCAGTTTCAGTTAATTTAACGTTACTACAGAAGTTAGCACAATGGTTGTTTTCTTATGAAAAAGTACCTATAATAGGATAAATTTCAAGATAATTTTTGAGTTACTATCAAAAATCAAAGTAAATATGTAGCATTACTTTTGTAGCTCCAAGAAAATATTTGAAAAGCTCCACCTTTTGGAAAAGCTATTTTCCAGAACTTATCCCATCATTCTTTTGTGTCTTCCTTTTGAATGATCCTATTCAGTTTTCTCATTCTCTAGTGATTACCTTCATACATACTTACGCAGCATCTGTTATTCTGTGAAGACCCAGCAAACAATGTTGAAATTAAGTAGGGGAAAAAACCTCACTTTTGTAAGTAGGCAGATGGTATAAACCTTAAGGCATTTTCCTGCTTACAGATCTCACGGGCAACAGTAGTTCCTACTGAAAATTCTTAGGTAGAAAATTTGTCTTAGTACATGGAAAGCATACCTTCATCACTGCAGTGTGGAGCTTCATTCATACACTGTAATGATTCCTCAACAAGTAGATTTAAAGCCTTTGCTGATAGAAATGTCAAGATTTGATTATAAAGTGACTTTAGGAGAAAATTATTTTAAAAAACGTGTTTTGATGCCATTTTGAATTTTTCTATTTTGATTGGGGAAGTATTTCTCCTGTTATAGGAGAAAAGGCTTTTGGTTTGATGCATTTCACAAATGCTATTTGTCACTTGTTAGGAACGCCTGTCTATGGCCTGTGCTCAAATCTTACAAGAAGCTTATACTTTAACACTTATCACAAAGCAGCAAATGCTCCATTAACAGTCCTCTATAACAAGGGCCCCGGTTTAAGGTTGTGAAACATAACTAAACAGTATATGAAGCATTGATAAGAAGGGATTTGTGGATTGAGTAGACAAGTTTTAGGATACTCAAAGGGAAGGAGGCAAGAATATATGAAGAACACTTCATGTGCATTTAAAAATTCTTATAACCCAGTGTTCTAGAGTTCTGTATTAGATGATAGTAACAACAAATAAAGTTGTTTCCCAAGTGGAATGATGTGGAATGTTTTCCTAAGTTCGTTATATGGAGTGTCAAGAAATGAATCCAAGTTAATTTGTGGACAACTAGTAATTTCAGAGTATTAGAACAGTTTTAAAGCAAGTGGCTACTGAATTCACCATATTAGCACTTTTCTCTTTTTTTTCTTATTGCCAAGATCATAATCCACATATGAGAGAAAAGATGGGTAGAGGGAATATAAATTTCAGAACTGTAGAAAAGTAATTGCTACCTCTCATCTATCCAGAAGGACCAAAGTAGCCTTTCTTCAGACTGTATCGTAGTCCATTTGAGGGTCATAAAAAGTTACTTCAGTGAGTTAAAACCAGCACTTTGAAAACAAAATAAAACAAAAGATACCAGAATATATTGCATACAGTAAAGGTGCACTAGTAAGAGTGCATTTTCATGAAAACTGTTAGTATAAATACATCCTTTCATTAAGGGGTCATATATATATTTATATATATATTTTTGCCATGGAGTGCAGTAAAAAGTTTTGAAAACTGCTACCATAGACTTTCTTGGTAAAACTAGAAAGCTCAAATCTTCAAATCTGAGGGTAAGACCACATGGAAGCCTAAGGTTATATTTTTTATTTGGGTTTTTTTTTTTTGAGGGAAGTAAGTAATTAGGTTTATTTACCTATTTTTAATGGAGGTACTGGAGATTGAACCCAGGACCTCGTGCATCTAAGCATGTACTCTGCCACTGAGCTATACCCTCCCCCAGAAGCCTAAAGTTAGAGAACGTTACAAGTGGACAAGTGCATGCATGTTTCTCAGACTTCTGCTTGTTTTGTCCTCTCAAAGGATACCCTCATTCCCTCCAGCCTACTTGCCTACCTCTTCTGTGGCATAAGGAATTTGTTCACGTTTCTCTCAGGACACAGCTATTTACTATGACCAAAAAGCAAAAAGACAGTTCTAAACTTTCTAACTATAATTCAGTGTCTGTAAGTAAGGCTAAACAGGAAAAATGAAAAATCTGTGTGCTACAGTTTCTTAGTTCCTAATGTTTAAATACGAAATCTTTTAATCTTAAAAATTATCTTATAGAACTATAACAATTTAAAATGAGATATAATAGTTTTTAAGTCTCAAACTTCTATGAAATTGGCTGTTTTACAAATTGATATAAAAACCTAACCCTTCAATGTCAATACAAACCAATCATAATTAATCAGAATAAAAACTCAGCAATGAATTGATTTGATAATTTGGCTTATATATGCTTTATTTCTAATATTGTGTTCCTGTTATATTAATCACTGAGCTCTTGGTTGGAAATTATTACTTTTATTTTCATTTTAATATTTTAACATTTTCTTTTAATTGCAAGTAGACAAAAATGAAATTTTCTTCATATTGTTTTAACAGTTGGACATATTTTACTTTTAAAGTCTATGAACTAGTTAGTGGACAGTATTTTAATAATATGGTATATTAAATTTCAAAGTTTAACATTTAGCAAAATTTTGCTTCACAAATTCACTTTTTAGAATGACAGGAAATATATACAACTTAGAATCCATATTCAGACAAATGCCCCTTTCCCTTCCTCAAAATAAAAGCTTTAAAAAGTGCAGTATAAAAGTTTTAGATATGAAGGCACTGCATAACTGCATCATATGGCTAATGTCTTGCTTACCAGCAAGAATAATGAGAATATTCTACACTTAATTTAATGGAGAATAAGAAACTTTTTTGAGGAAGGACCTAGCTCTCATCAAAAAAAAAAAAAAAAAAAAGAAAAGAAAAAAGAAACTTTTGGCCCATTTAGTTAATGCATTCCTTTCCAAGACTGCTTTTAAAAAACTTATCTGGAAAAGCTATCTAGAATATGTTAGCCACAAATATGCCTAATCTTATTGTGCATGAATGTCAGGGGATATGGAGAAGAGTACATGTGAAAATATATATAGTTCCAAAATAGTAACCTATCTATTATGACAAAGCTAAATATCTTTCCAAATCCACTGTTTTTATATAAATGCTGCTAACAACAGATGACCTATCAAAACACTTTTAAAGAGTTGAGTCCATAGTATTTTTATAAATCTAATGAACAGAACCAAGTCATACTTTCCTATTCTTAAACTTAGGGAGTTTGTATCTGTTCTTCACGTACTGAATTCACTGGGTGATAATGATGTATGATTCAGGAAGTGTTCTGATGTCCTAAACTGTTATAAAAACAAAAATCATAACCAGAGGACCTTATAAACAGTTAACCACATTTGTTAACTTAGAAACCAAACTGAATGCTAACATTACACAAACCGAATAGCAGCTACAAAAGGCTTCAAGGTGGCCTGGAAAATCAGATTCTAAAATTCTTAGTAGCATATAGTCGACTTCAAGTCTCTTCTTTAAGGACATGCCCCAAAGAAAGAATGGAAAGTTGCCCCTTAAATCAAACCAAATTTTGTGTTATCACAGGAAGACACATTTTAGTTGATGCGAACTCTGTTCTTTCCAAAGTTAGTAAAATAGTGGTCCAAAGATTATTGTCCAAGAGGCTAAGACATCTTTACAACCTGGTCTGCTGATTGATTTTTCTTTATAAGTGCTTTAATTACATATAGAGAAGAAAATAATATATGTTTTAATCAGATTAGTTTCAGAACAAATAAAATAACACATTAGAGAAAAAAATTACTTAAAAATAGTTGTATTTATATTCCACAATTTGCTCAAATACTGGTTTTCTTATAAACTTTCTACAGGATGTTTTTTAAACAAATTCTTCACATTGTATCTTGACTATGTACTTACGGAATTTCAGGGAAATAGTTCTGTATGTTTTTATAGCTTAATTTGTACTAAAGGGATGGCAAGTGGTCACATGCAGTCCATGTGGGATTCTAACATGACATTTAGTGAGTTTTCTGATGTGGACCATCCCTTTGATGCTGAAGGTAATGCATCTGTTGAAAGAAGTGATTGTAGATTTGGATTACTGCTCTCTGCATCTTCCAGTTTTTCTGTGTTATCTTCCCAATTAATGTGGAATCTGGTGACTCTGGGATTGGATGCTAGAATGTTCCTTTGAAGCTAGAGGAAGGAAATACATAAATGGTAAACACTAAGAAAGTTAGATCACCATATACAAACAGACCTTAGTAGAATGGTTCTTTATATTAGCCTCCTAAAAGGCTAAGTTCATATACAAAGTTTAAGTCAAATAAAGCATTTTAAACATAGCTAATAAACAAGGACTAAGGCTGCAGCAAAGAAATTATTTTGGCCAAATGGAAGCAAGATATGGAAAAGCTGAGGGAATTATGCAGATCTTTTAATATCTAACAAAATAGATATCTAAGTCTATACTTGTTTCCTAAAAGGGAGAGAATCTCGACTGCTTCAGAGGATGCTTTATTTAACAAATTAACATGCTTTCTAGATTGGTGCGGTGTTTATTCTGTAATATTTTCAAGGAAAATGAAAAATTTTCCCAAACATAGCCCCTCATTATTAATGGTTTCCTACCTTTTAATTATTATGGCTTACTCTTAGAAACAGTATTCTAGTTTCTCCTCTTTTGCTATACAAGGAGCCATACATGTAACAAATTAGAAATGGAAGGCTCCACATCAGAATAAAAAACACTCCAGCCTTATTATCGGAAGGGAGAACATTCCATTCTACTCTCATGTAATTTTTCCTGCATGGTCTGGCAGATAGTGTGATGTTCAGTCTCACAAAAATCACCAGTTACTAAACTATTACAGTGCCCAATGGAAAATTACAAAGTACTCAGTATTTTTGAGAATACCTGAATCACAGATTTCAGCTTCTCACTCAGAAGCTAAGCTGCTTTCACCACCAGAAATATTTAAGACCTTTAGTTTAATCTCTGAGAACAGCAGATAAAGCAGGGCAAAAAGGTGTTCTGAGACAACAATGTTCATATGAAAAACAAATGCAGCCCCCTCCCCCATTTTGGGAAGTTACAGACAAAAATACTATTGAATAATCAGTACAACAAACACGAATTTGAATGTCCTAAAGATTGAAATGGATAGAATCATGATGTTTGGGGAATGCCATACTGAGAGCTACTAAGAAAGGCCTGTTTCTCACAGGAGGCACTTTCCATTTTCTAAATCATCAGAGACTCTCAAGGTGCCTGACCAACATTAATTACTAATGACTAATCTGGACATAGGGTTTGAGGTCATCCATGGTAATGGAACAACAATTAGTTTGCTCATTTGGCATAAGCACCTCAAATTTATTTTGTCTCAAAGCCATTTTCATAATGTACTATGAAATGGTAATTGCTTAAAAAATTATATTGTAAAATTGATGAAAAAGGAATACACAGAAAATTACCTTGGAAAAGTCTGGTTTTACTGGTGGGTTTTCCCTTAATTCTGTCTCGGTATATTCATTATTAACATAATAACCAACTCTAATAAATTCTTGACCTCGATAGGTACATGTAATTAGCACAACTGTTACACCTACTGCATCTGCATCTGGAATGAGTCCTGGATTAGGTGCATCAGCCTAGAATAATTTAAAAAGAAAAGAAACACACATCACAAAAGGTTGTTAACTGCAAGCAAAACTGGAGTTCTGGTTACACTGAGCACCGTCAGTTAAGGGCACAGCAACCAAGACTTGGAAATCATACTGGGAAGGCACGTGCTCATTTTTGAGACTTGACTTATAGCTAGAAAATATAGTTCATATGTTTCTCCACAGCATACCTAAGTACCCTTGGTACTGAAAGCATCACTACTTCTAGAGGAAAATAAATGTGGCATGTGATAGTTCATGAGGGATTATGCAATTATAAAACCTTTTATAAAGTATGGTAAACAAAGCAATAGTCTTACTGATTCCAACCTTTCCCAGTCATACCCTTCAGACCTGAATTAGTGAATATTCAGTTATCTCCACACAGCCTTTTGGCAGCAAATGTTTCTTATCCAATTTCCCAGGAGTGACATATTCTCACTCCCACCCCTCACATATATTCTAATAGTAAATTAATATAAAACTGAAAATGGAATGGAAATGGTTACATAGCAGATTTTTAAAGAATACTAACAGTTACACACTATGGAAATTCAATGAAGGTAAAGACTGACGGTGAGGATGGTGAGGCATGAGAGCATGACCGTTGAGTGGTAAGTGCATGAAGTCCCAGCAGATTGGCTTACTCTTGCCTGGGCCTGACTAAGCACTTCAGCCAATACCTTAGCTTGGGAACACTCCTGGCTGGCATTCTCAATCAGGCTATTATCATAAAAGACTAATGATTACTGTATATACAGGTGACACCAAAAAGCATGAAACGCCCACCTAGTCACCGAGACTAAAAACCTCTGACACCCTCAGCTTCCCTGCCTCCTACAATTAGTCTGTCTCAACGTTTTCCATCTCTGAAAGTGGGATTCATGTTTTCATCTCTTATCTGGAATATTGCTAAAACTTCCTTACTGGTCTCGACCAGCATTAGCTACTGAAGCACAGATTCATGCCTATCCCTTCACCAGGTTTTAAAACCTCAGGTGATTACCCTCATTTCTAAGAGATTAAAAATCTCAGTTCTTTAAAACTTTGTTTCTAAGGCCCTTCACCGTAGGTCTCCAACCAACATCATACCCCCTTTAACTCCCCATCTCTTGTTCTAGAAATGTAGGTTCCTTAGAATGGAATGATAATCTTTCATTCCTCTGTGCCTTGCATATACTGTTCCCTTGGCCTGAAAGGTCCTTCCCTAACATTCTGAAAAATTCATTTTCTAAAGCTTGCATCAAATGTATCCTCAACAAAACACTTTCTAATTCAAAGGTATAATTAATAGCATTCTTTAGGACCTCATTATTTGATCTAAATCCTCTATTCATGTATGTCCAACAATCTTAATATGTTTACCCTTTAATCTTCCTTGCGAGTCTAAGCTTTATCCTAGGTGGGAGTCACATCAACCTCATCTTTGTAATCTCATGTTTGGCATAGCTCTAGGCACATAGTATATACTTAGTATTCTGAATTCATTCATAACTCAGTTCCTGCCCTGACGTGGTTTATGATCTCTTTGGAGAGATGGAGACAGAGGGCCTGTCCTGAGAACATGCTCTTTGTCTTTGGGTGGAGATGGTATTTCAGTGCTATGGGAACTTTCCCCATATTGCTTCCCATACCCTCAGGACATTCGTTCTAGGCATGTTTGTGTTTTAAAATTCGTTTGCTAAAAGATTCAGCTTGAGTAAATTCAAGGAGAGAAGCCTGCATACCTCTCAGATCATTCAGGATGGGGAAGTGGTAAGCAGAGATCTTTGACTCCAAAAGCAATACTAGGCAGATGTCTGGGCACCTTCCTGCTAGCCCTTGACACACTTAGGAGAAAGGCATGTTTATTCTGAGAGGTAAAATCACAGCAGAGCAGGAGAATACTATGGTAGTTTCTTTAAAACATAAAACAAAAATTATTTTAGTCCCTTTCTGCTGATAATGGTAAATTTTGAAAAATGCATAGGCTGAACATATGATCTAAATCATACTGTACTTCATTAATCCTTTTGGCAATATGTGCACAGATACCAAGGTAAAAATCACTGGAAAATCACTAGAGGGAAATAGTTTTGAAATATTTTTTTTCCTACAACACTCTAAGCCAAAAGCTGAGGAGTATTCTTAACAATATAAACACATAGAAAAGATTTTTAAGGGTTTGTTTCTAAAACATGACACTTATTTGCAAGTTTTTTTTTTTTTTTTAGCAGTGTCAAAAGGCATCTCACTACATCTCAAATCAAGTTTCTTACACCACAAATTATCATCTGTGAAGTACAGGTTCTCCAGGCTTGTGGGTCAAAGCATTATAATACCACTTCTTTAAATAATAATCTCAAGAAGCTGAGAGAATAAAAACTTAGTTCTAATTATAGAAATAAGGCATTGTCTGTCAGTGATTGTACTTAACTGCTTTATTCCTCATAACATTCTTATGAGATAGGATATTACATTTTATAGACGACTAGAGTGGCTAAAGAAGGTTGGGAGCCTGTCCAGTCTCTCACGTGGCTATGAAGCAGTAGAGCGGGATCTGACCCAGGTCTACAACTGCAGTGCCTGCTCTGCCAGGCTTTCTCTGATACCCACATCTTTCACCAAGATTATGCACTCACACAACTCAGGTTAACAGCACTTAAATTTAAGCCTCTTAGTCAATATATTTAAACTTTTCTTAACCATTTATTTAGATGTAATAGAATATTTGTTGCTTTTTAACAAAAAGCACTAAGGCTAGGAGACTGAGATTATGAATTCTGTATGTAAGGGGGGGGGTAGCAGCTCTAGAGATACCATATGTTTGAATGATTCTTAGCCCATATCTGGTGGGATTATTTGACCAACAGTATTCATTTAAATTGGTCCCATCTGTGAAGTGAGAAAAGCAAGAGGTCAGGGATAGAAGAGTTAGATTCTCTTTCTGGATGAAGTCTTTTCAGTGGGTTCTACTTAACTAATGGGACTCTTGGGTAGAAATACTTGTAACAAAATTAATAATAGTTATTAAAAAGGTTTTGGCTAGTTACTCTTTGGACTATTATAAATATCTCCCTCTAATAAATATGGATAATTGAGAAGTGACTGAATAGTTTTATAAAACAATTTGACATGGATTAAAAGATTTCTGAATACAGGAGATAATGTCTGAAGCCTTGGCACAGACCTAAAGACTGTCAGTGGTATCTGAGAACAAAATTTACATTAGTAGAATTTCCCCTCACAAATAATAAATACAGGTGTGGATTTGTAACAGTAATCCTCTATAAGAAATATAGATTAGATGCTTTAGTAGACAACTGGACTTCATTTAGTTCCAGTGACCCAAGATCTTGCACATCTCTATCTTCTAACATACCTGTTAACCTAGCTGAATTACTAATTATGTGGAAATAAAGCTGTTCTATCGTCACCATCCCTCATGGCTGAAACCATAATCTGAAGATGCGTGTTATTAACTGTATCCGTTAGTAGTAAGCATTTTGAATTCCTGTTATGGGCTGCTGGACAGCCACCCTGAAGGTCTCATACTAAGGGACTATTGACAGGAAGAGCCCAGAATTAACTACCATGTGTGCCCTGACACAGTATAAGGTTTACCACATGCTGTGCAAACCCTGAAGTAAGCACTGCAGTGACATTTCTCGGCACACAAAATCAGGAGGCGGCATTCCTTATGACACAAAGACTTATTAAAACATGATAGAAGCAGATAAAAAGTGAATATAGCAGACCCAGACTGATTTAATCCAGAAGAAAAGGAGTAAGGACCATTTGGAAATGTGTTTGGCATACATAATTACCAAGAATCATCTTACCTGAAATACAAACATATGCCTTCCTGCAGGAACAGGGCCCACTAAAACAGAGTCTAAAACTTGATCGTATTCTTCACTTTCTGCAGAGCCCACATAGATAATTTTCCATTCCAGGTCTAGGGTTAAAAACCAAAACATTATTTCATATTCAGTAATTATCAAAGACCATTTGAATGTCCACTTAACCATTTACTGGCTCCTAAAACTGGCTTCTCATAGCAAAAAATCCAGAAAGGCACTGAAGTGCTCCTTAGAAAATTCTTAGATTTCGTACCAGAGTTTTCAAGATGCTGTTTTGTGAAATACTGGTCCCTAGGCAGGGATCCTCACAAAACAAAGCAACGTGGCCAAAAACTTGGGGAATAATACAACCTTCTCTTGAGGATTCACAGAGTACACTGGCAGAGCAAGTAGTCTGTAAAATCCTTCAGTAAAGAACACCGGTAACAATAATCCAGTTTTTCCTAAATTTATTTAGCTGAGGAATCCCTCCCCCTTTTCTGCATGTCAGCTTTTAACAATCTGCTAAACACCCTTTGGAAGGGCTGCCCCATACTATGTTGCACAGATCCAAACCTTCAAAGAGCTCCAAAGTGGAAAAATCAGCATTTGCAAACTTTCCTTGTGGCTCAGAAACCCCTTAGGAGCTTCAGCTCAACTGTTAAAGGTCCAGCCAGGTTTTTCCCCGTGGCACCCCTTCATATCATATATTCTTTACATTGGGAAGAGGAAACCAAGAATCCTTACACTTGATACATCAGAGTATATATAGTGGGAACAACACAGAATAAAGTACAACCTAAGACACTGTAGGTAAATCAATCATTATATGTAATTCAGACTTTACTGAGCACCTTTTATAATGTGCTCTGTGAGAAGAACCCAGAGATGAGTAAAGGACTAGCCTTTGGGAGGGGCCTCCTCTTTAGTAGGGGGGCCACTCTACAAACACAAATCATCACTGAGACCTCCTGGTCCTCTTAGGGTGTTTGGCACTGTGTGGCCTGGCTCTTGGATTTACTACACAGAGACTACATCAGCACTCCCAGAGGGGTGTTTCTGGGTCACTTGTGGAGAATCAGTTACTGCTACCATGTGTTATTTCTGTGTAACTTTGTAGATATTTTTGTTCCCTAAACAGATAATAGTATAGGTACTACTTACTCATACTGTATTATAAACTGCAATTTATCAAACTAAAAGATCCTTAAGTGTATACTTTCTCTTTTAAGCCAGTAGTCATTTTCTGAGGACCTATTATGTCATGGTTCTGTCCCAGACCTTGACCGCTTTATCTCCAGCTTCTAGCACATTTCTAGATGCAGGATCCTGCATCTGACATCCCATGAAATCATCTATTTGTTGATGAAGATTAAGAGAGGGAACAAGCAATATGAATATTAGTATAAAGATTTTTAGCTTTTACAGTGAGTGGCATGGGAAGGCCACTGGAGGGTTTTGAGTGGAGTGACATGATCTAACTTTTTCATTTTAAGATGGTCATTTTGCCTGCTGTGTTCAGTACAGACTATAGGAGGCCAAGGGAAGAAACAATAGGATAGCTCAACTGAGACAAGAAATTATGGTAGCTTGGACCCTGTGTAAATATGGCGGAGAGAAGCAGTAACGTTCTGGATAAATCTTGAAGATAGAGGCTCTAAGAACCACTTATTTTTATATTGGACATGGGAGGGAAACAATCAGGAATTTGAGACACAGAGAGTAAGTGGAGATAATGAATAGGTATGGTAAAAATTTGGAAACTGTCAGCATGTAAAGCCTTGAAAATAGGTGGGATACCTAGGGAGTGGTCCTAGGGGCTCTCTAAAGTTAAGAGGTCAGGGAGATGAGGAAGAATCAATAAAGTAAGTTACAAAACTAGTGGCCAATGAGGTAGGTAACTCAAAAGTCAAGTGGATAAATGGTTTTAAGAATAAAGGCATGTGCAAGTTACTAAACTAAACCAAGTAAGGATAAGGCTAGGAATTGTCACATAGAGGTTTTCATAATGTTTTGTTCATTTCATACGTATTTGTACTACTATGTATAGTGCTCTTGGCCTAATTTGTATAAGTTGGCATATTTGATCTGGCATAGGAACATGGTTATGACTTGTAAACCTACTTTTATAAAATACCTACTGTGTGCTAGGCATTGGTCTCGCCATTTCACACTTGTTTAAACCTCAAAAGCTTTGTATCATTTCGATTTAATCATACCTGTTACACAAATAAGAAAGTTGAGACTTTGGGAGGCTAAGTAATCTACCCCAAATTCACATAGCTAGTAAATCAAAGAATCAGAATCCAAGCTATGTCTCTGCAGCTTTAAAGCCTAGGCTCTTTCCAAAAACCTAAGGAAGACAAATTCCTCCCTTTCTAGCTCTCAAATTAATAGTGGAATAAAGGAACTTAATTCTGGCAAGGGGGAGGCCATGCAGATAAATCCAACCTTAACAATTATAGGCGGTAACTCAGGGAACACCTACCTGTATCTCACTTTCTATGCTTATGGATACGTCCTGTAGCTACTGAGATTGAAATGCTCAGTACTTATTGATAAATTAGCATCAGTTGTTTTGTTCTTAACTTTTTTCTTTTGAACCCAGGTTTCATTCCCCTGCCCCCTGTATTCGAAACAAGAAGGGCTAGGGTCAGATGTTTTTACACAGGTTATCAATGGAGGGAGTTTACTTATTTATTTAAAAAGGTAACTGTTTCATTTAATCATGGTGATCCAAGCCTGCAAGGATTTCCATTTTGATGGGAGTGAGGGAAGTCACCAAGGGAATTTGAAACTAATTACACTACTTGGGAAGACCTGTGATCTAGGGGAAAGTATGTAGCACCATCCAATTCTGGTACATTGTAAGTATGCAACTGACAGTAACTATAATTATTGATATAGATCAATTAAAAAAAAGAAGGCTCCATTCAATAAATAAGCAGAGGATCAACAGTCCACAGAAGGCATAACAAAGAAAGCAGTGAAGTCAATCGAAACTTGGACAGGCTTCATGACCATCAGATCAAACACATCCAAGGTCTCCTATCAGACTTACAGGAAAGCCTCTGTTTGAATCTGTGGATTGCTGTCCTACCTCTGTATAAGTCTTACGGTAGACACCACTAAAGTCTCTTTAAGAGTAAGCACTCCTCAGGGCTTTTTCTGAAGCATAGCTATAGGGCAGCTTTTAAAGGAAAGTAAAAATACTTGGGAACTATTGACAACTTAAAAGCATGAAAAATGGCAGCCAACCTCTGGCCTGGGACTTAAGACAAAATTATAAAGTGAAAATTTCTCTTCAGGATATTCTGTAGTTTAATTTCAAGAACAAATTTTTAAAGAACTGCAGTATAAAAGAAGGGACCTGTAAGAAGCCTTTGCTAAGTAAACTCAATTTCCTTAATCCACACAGCCTCTAGGTGGAGTACATAAGCATGGCACCTTTTTGAAAGATTCCTTTGCAGCTTCAGTATGACTCAGCTTAAATTCTTTAAAAAAAATACTAAATGCTCAGTATAGGTGCCCTAGGAATTGAGGTGGTATACAAGTCGGAGATGGTGTATTCCTGACACTGGTACTGTAAAAACTCTGATGTAATTCAGCTGGGTTCTGAACAGCTCCCAGTTAGATACAGAACACAATTCTGCTTCCACCAATGGCAGGTTTCAACTATCCAAAGTCAAAGCCCTGTAACAACATTCTGAATCATCTATCTTCCTTGTTCAGAACTGGCTCCTAAAATGGAAGGCATCACTTGAGAAATACCTGTAATTTCAAGAATTTCTAATGCCTAAAACACTGTAGTGTAAGTTGTAATGGACTAATCAATAGTTTCTCTTGCATTTGTCCATTTTTATATTCAATTGGTACTAAAAATGAAAAATTAGTCTAGAAGGTATGAACTTGGGTCTGGTGGCTGAAATGCTTCATGGTGGTACTACAGAAAAGTAACCAAATAGTTTGAGTACCGTAGTAAGAAAAATTCCCTTTAATTTTATTACCAATGGCCTACTTAGGAATTAGTTTAATAAATAAATCTTCCTTCAAAATGTGCCCTACTTATATGTGTGCATATAAGCTTTATATATGCAGTAAAACTCAATGAAGAGCACAGACTAAAGTGTTAATTATGGTTACTTACAGGAGTGAGATGGGGGAAGATACTGAGTACAGAGGACTGTTACTTTATATATGTCTGTACAACTTTTAAAAAGTTTATTACAATGAACATATTGTTTTTGTAATTTAAAAAGTTAACATCCTACATAAATACATTTCATAGAAATTAAAAACTAATTTTTAAGTGAAAATGCTTTACACGCCTTGATTAGCATAATTTAAAATGCACTGTTAAACATATTTGTAAGTTCAAAGAAATAGTCCCCTATTTAATTGTAAAAATTACCATTGATAAAGCTAAATTTTTCCCCCTCAAATTTTGAAAATGGAGCACTGTATTAATAATATCGCAAAGATAAGACCTTCACAAATTTTAGCTTTCTAAATATTTATTACTGCCCATATTAAAAATGTTATCTTTTTGAAGGGCTTAAAATGTAATTAGAAAAAAATAGTAAAAAATTTTGCATTGCCATCAGGACTTTACCTTTTACTTCCTAGCCCAGTTTGTGTCTTATGTTCAGGGTATTTGGATGTGGACTTATTTTAATTTGATTTCGACACGTTCTTGAAGTCTTCTTTCAGACTACTTAGAAGCCAGTGATTAAGTCCTGGAAATTATTTAAATGTCTTACTTATTTCTGCTCTTGGGTTAAATGTAACTTCCTAGCTTAGCAATATTTTTCTTCCTGAGAGAGAGGAGAGAAGATTTCGGTCATTAAGGATGAGGAGTCCACGTTGGTCCGGGCGAGCCTGCGCGCCGGCATCCCCGGGCGCCCCGAGCATCCCGGGAGCCGGCCGGGGAGCACCCGCGGCCCCCGGGGAGCGCCGGCGCCGGCCCGCGGCGCCGAGGGGCCGAGCCTGCGCCCGCCTCCCCCGCTGGTTGGTCGAGGGAGCCAGAAATCAGCGCGAGGACAGCCTCGCTCTCCTCCCCGAAGCGGCCGGGCATGGCCACCCAGGAGAGTACGGCAACTCCAGCGTAAGCCCTAAAAATGGATCTGCCTCTCGCTCGGGGGCAGGAAGGTGGGCAGGCGCGGCGCCGTGTTCGTCACCCGCGGAAAGGAGGCGTCGTGACGCCGGGGTCGGTGGCCCGATTCTCTACTCTTGGTAAGATGGCTCCGCTGCTAACTCGCCGGCGAGACCACACACACGCCTCTCCCTCCCCAGCGCCTGGCCCGGGCCGCCGGGGCTGCCGAGGCCGTTCGCGGCTCGGGGCCAGCCCGGCGCGACCCCCAGCCGGCGCGCGGACGTGAGTGCGGGTCTCGCGAGCCGCCCGCCC